GTGTGTGTGTGTGTGACAGATACGCATCACCTGAGGTTTATTAGTTTGTTGACTGTTAAATTGTGTAATCCAAATGGATGGAAAGTGTTATTCACAGATCTTAAGTTCAGGCCTGAATATCTGCGAGGCGGTTCGGAGGTTAGGAGCGGTCTCGGGCTGTTCGCTCAGGCTGCAGACAGACACACCATTGAAGGGAAACCTCCAGCTGAGTGACAGAGAGAGAGACAGAGGGATGGATTTCTCTCCCACCACGTCCTTTCCCAGGGTGCACCTCTGCCCTGTGCTTCCCTCCGAACCACCGTCACCCAGACCAGAACTAAACCGGCTCTGAATCAGAACGGCTTGCATTCTCAGTAAAGCATCCTTCAGAGCAGGCACACTCAAAACCAGATCCCACGCAGGACTCAGCAGCCAACAAAGCACTTTTAGGTTTACTCTCTTTGACTGACTAAAATAAAGATATTCATACATTGAATGCATTTTTTTATTACTTACAATTAATTAATTCAATATTAAAAATTAAATAAATAAATTATTATATAAATATATATATATATATGCAATATGAGGAAATATCCAAAACACAGATATAAAGAGCAAATTATTCTATCAGAATTTGTATTCATATTTTGAATTTGTTTTTATTTGTATATTGCACGTTTACATTTAAATCTTTAAGTTTTATAAATGTTTTGTTTGTCATTTTTTTGCTATGTCTATATAAATGAGAAATAAAATAAAATAAGTTTAAGTTTGATATCTGACACAATCCTGCTTCACGAGTAAATGCATCTTGTTTTAAGCATTTTTAAAAACAAGAGAAATAGTTTTAAAAATATATTTTTTACATTTAAGTTGTTAAGTTCTATTATTTTTTGTTTTCTATATTTTTTATATTTTACATTTACATTTTTAGGTTCTATTATTTTTTGTTTGTCATTATTATTATGTCTATATAAATGAGAAATACAGTAAAATAAGTTTAATTTTCATATATTTTCTATATTTATATCTGACACAATCCTGCTTCACGAGTAAATGTATCTTGTTTCAAGGATTTTTTGTGAGAAAACACTAGGAAACACTGATTCCACTGACACTCACTCACATGCAAGCGAGCAGCTGGAGCAGTTAGTCAGACCAGCAGAGATGTGAGAGTGCTTTTGCTCCCTCTGCTGGAGGACGGGGTGACTTACAGGCGGAGGGCAAGCACAGGGTGAGATCCGTGCAGCACATGTCTGACAGAGAAGGTTCAGGGGAGGAGAGGTCAGACAGAGACAGACGGGTAGTTACC